GATGATTTTGATATGAATCGAGCAAAGGAAAGGACAAGCGTTCTCTCTCTCTTTTTCTCTTATTCTCTGTCTCTGTCTGTTTCTCTCTCTCTCTCTCTCTCTTATTCTCTGTCTCTGTCTTCTCTCCCTCTCTCTCTTATTCTCTGTCTCTGTCTGTTTTCTCCCTCTCTCTTTCTTATTCTCTCTCTCTCTCCTTGGGAAGCCCGAGAAGGATCAAACGGAAGGCGGAATTCCCACAAGGCGGCGCCGAAAAAGATCCTGCCTCCCCGTGTCCATCGCTCCACACCCAAGTGATTATCCGGAACGACCACCTCCCGAACCGCGGCGACGACCAGACGACCAGACGACGAGAACCTGCAGGGTGCTCGGCCTCCGCGACGCCTCCAAACCTGTTTATTTTCGCGCTGTCTCGAGCCGTGAAGCGTCGTGACTGCCCACGCCTCGGGGTCTGATTAGGCGATGCCACCCTTTCCCCCTTTCGCTCTTTTCCCTGTCTTTCTCTTCTTTTGTCTCTTCGTCTGTCTGTCTGTCTGTCTCGCGTTTCTCCTCGTCTTTCTGTTCTTTCTCTGCCTGTCTGTCTGACTTTGTCTTGCTTTTCATTCTCTCTCTCTACCTCTCTCTGTCTGCTTCTCTTTCCTTGTCCCTCCCTCTCTCACTTTTACGACATCCCCGCCGGAGTCACCCCCCCTGCCCCTCCCCCTGTTCCTCCTTCCCTCCTGGAGTCCTTAACCTCCCCGACCGCTCCAAAAGCTTCTTAGAAATTCCTCGAGCCAGTCTTAACATCGCCTTAAAGCCTTGCAAAACCTCCGTTACGCGACAACTCCTTCGTGCCTCCCCCCCCCTCCCCAACCCCCTTCTCCTGCCCCCGCCTCGCCAGCCCCGGCGTCCTTCCCTCCCTCCCTCCCTCCCCCCGCGTCCCTCCGTCCCTGAACTCCCGGCTGGCGGCCCTCCGGCGGCCCACACGCGCCAGCGACGTGTGACAGTGAGGCCCGGAGTCACGTACGAACGACGCAGGACGCTCTCCTCGCTCTCGCACGGGGTTTCCAGGGGCCCGAGAGCGCTGGCGGAGGCGGCGGAGGAACGCTGTGGTTGGTCAGCTGGCGGCGAGCAGCACAGGTAGCGGCAGCTGCTGCAGCAGGAGGCAACAGGCGGCGACGGCAGGCTGGCTGCGTCGAAGTGGTCAGGCGGCTCTGCGTCTGTCGCCTCCGTCGCGGTCGTCGCTTCGGCGGCGGGATCCTCGGTCCTCCCGCTTCTCCTGCTCCTCCCCTGCTCTCTTCCTTTTAACATTCCTCCATCTTCGTTTCCTCCATTCCCTTTCTCCTCTTCCTCCTACCCCTCCTCCTCCTCTTCCTCCTCCTCCCGACGGCTAAATATAGACGTAACCTCGGCCGTAATGCCTCGCTGACTCCCGCCTGCGGCCAGGTGGGGACCGCGGCGGCGCGCTCCGCTTGCCTCGCGCCATTATACACTTCTTGTTGTTCTTGCTTTTTTTTCCAAATTCTTTGTTTCTCACTCGTGTTCTTGTTGCCGTAAAGCTGGCGAAGGAGGCGAGGGCTTCTGTCTTTGCGGCCGCATAGTTTCGGAATCCCAAGACGGACGCGGAGGGAAAGTTGTTCCTGTGACGTCACCGTGCCACGTCGTTTCACTGACGTCACCGTGTTTTGGCTGCTCTGAATGGGTGGTGACGTCATAGAAAAATGTTCTCTCGAGAGGGAAACGAGACTTTCCCCCGCCCCCCCCCCCACCCCCAACCCCTTCCTCCGTCACATCCTCCGAAAATGAGAGGAACGAAAGGCAGAACAGTAGCAACATCCAGCACTTCGTATGCACTGTCACGTTTTCATTAAAACCAGTAGCGATTCGTCTCACGGTAATGTAAGGTGCGTGACCTCCTCTATGACAAACAAAAGAAGCACTGAGCTGTTTTGCCTACTCCCCCCCTCCCCTTTCCCCCTCCCCCCACCCCCTTCCCCTCCCGAAAACCTTGAACGTTGCAGTTGTAAGTTTATTATCCTAGCCTACCCCTCCCCCTCCCCACGCCTGTCCTTCTCCTTCCTCTGTTGACTATTCCTATTCTTCCCTCTCTCTATCCCTTCCTCCCTTTCCTCTTCCTCTCTCCCCTTCCTCTCCTTCCCCTCCCCTTTCCTCTCCTTCTCTTCCCCTTCCCTCCTTCCCTTCCCTCCCCTTCTCTTCCCTTCCCTCCTCTATCCTTCGCTTTTCCTCCCCTCCCTCCCTCTCCCCCTTTCACCTGCACGCCGCCTTAACCCACACGCAGCCTTGGTCTCTTGCCTTGAATTGACACCTGTAAAGCCACAAGGACGCACTTAAAACACAAGAAAAAAGAGAGAGAAAGAAAGAAATAGAACGCAAAGAGAAGACGCTGAGATACAGACGCAAACAAAGGATCATATGTTGAGACGCACACTGATACACACACACACACACTCGCAGAGACACGCACAGACACACGTACACACACACGCGTTCTCATATACGTACGTACGCACAACACACACACACACAAACTGCCCACCGCATCTCCAGCCAATGGATTCCTCCGACAACACAACGAATACACTAAAATACACCAGAAATGCACTCCATTACAGCCAAGAAGGGCGGGCGGGCGTGGGTAGGCCCCGCGGCACTTACCACTCCCCAGGCTGGCACTCTGTCCTTGGCGATGAGCTTGATGGCCACGGGCGCGCCGTCCTTCATGCGAGTGCCCGCGTAGACGGTGCCGAAGCCCCCCTTGCCCAGCACCTTGGACACGACCTTCCCCCTCTCGTCCACCGTCTTGTCCACTCGGTACAGCCTCTCCCTCTCTGTCCCCGTCCCTCCCCTCCTCCCCCGCCCGGGCCGCACCCCCCCCCCTCCCCCGCGCCCGACGCTTTGCTAGCGGGCGCGGTGGAAGTAGACGGGTGGCTGCACTGGTGGGCGTGGGAGGCGCTCGAAGAGGAGGTGGACGAGGTGGGGGCGGCGGTGGAGGTGTGGCTCATGGTGGGGACGAGGGCGGGTGTGGTGGTGGTGGTGGTGGCCGTGCAGGCTGTTGTTGTTGTTGTTGATGTTGTTGTTGTTGGTCGCGTGGCCATGTTGCTCCCGAGGCACTGCGGATAAGGAGAGAGAAAAAGTTTCGTTACACACAATACAATAACCACAACAATAGTAGACAAAGAACAACAGTAACCATAATTCCATTATTAATGAGAGAGAGACGAAACAAAGAACAACAACATTGACTATAATTCCAGCCTTAATAACGGAGAAACATAACATCAAAACGAACGTTCATCAGCACAAAGTGAACGATCCCCACTGAACAGAGCAAACGTTGCTAACACGTACAGATGCTTTAGAAAGGTAGTATAATGCATATTGTTCTCCCTCGGCCGCCCACGCACGTACACACTGTAACAATACAGACACGTACGTACATACCGGCGACGAGACACTATCGAGCGGTTATGTAGGTGAGCGTGTATGCTAATACAATGCAATACCGGTGCTCTTTTCCTCCTGATCCTCTCTTTCCCTCTCTCACTTTCTATCGTTCTCTCTCTCTTTCTTATTCTCATTCTTTTCCTCTGATCCTCTCTTTCCCTCTCTCTCTCTTTCAATCGTTCTCTCTCTCTCTCTTTCTTCTTATTTCTTTTCCCTCTGATCATCTCTTTCCCTCTCTCTTTCTATCGTTATCTATCTCTTATTATTATTCTTTTCCTCCGATCCTCTCTTTACCCCCACTCTCTCTCTCTCTCTCTCTCTCTCTCTCTCGGACGTGTGTAGCGTTTCTACACTGCAGTAGCGGCATTCTTCTTGGACTCTCTCTCTCTCTCTCTCTCTCTCTCACGCAATAAAACGAACGCTAATCTGAGCCGAGTTTCTGCAATGCTATACTGATATTCTTTTCTTCTACCCCCTTCTCCTGTCTCTCCTCCATTCTCCTCTCTCTCTCTCTCTCCCTTTCCCTCCCCTTCCTCTCTCTCCCTTTCCCCCCTTCCTCTCTCTTCTCTTTCACGCCCCCTCTCTCTCTTTCTCTCTCACTCTCCCTTTCCCTCCCTCTCTCTACTCTCTCTCCTTTCCTCTCTCTCTCCTCTCTCTCCCTTTCCCTCCCCTTCCTCTCTCTCTCTCTCTTTCACGCCCTAGAACGAACGCTGATCTGAGGCCGGTTTCTGCGTTGGTGACTATAGCTGACCCAGTTTCCGAGTCTGCGGCCCTCAGACTCAACTCCTCCCCCCTTCCTCCCCTCCACCCCCGGTCTATCTTCCACTTCCTTTTCACCCCCTCTCTCTTCCTCCTTCATTCTTTCATTCTTCGCTTGTTTGTTTTTATTTTTTTTTTATCTCTCTTCATATTACCCCAGTATCATGTTCCTTTTTTTTATAATCGGTGGAGAAAGTATTTTCGTTTTACAAACTCTCTCTCTCTCTCTGTCTCTGTCTCCCCCCTCTCTCCTTCCCTCCCTCCCTCCCTCTCACACTCTCCCTTCCATCTCCCTCCCTTTCCCCTTACACACTCACTCACTCTCTGTCTCCCCCTCTCTCCTTCCCTCCTTTCCTCGCTCTCACACTCTCTCTTCTATCCCTCCCTTCCCCCTTCCCCCCCACTCACTCTCTCTCTCACTCTCCCATCTAACCCCATTATCCCCATCTCCCACTCACCATCAAAACAACCAGCCATCCCTTTCAACCGACCGGAGCGACACACACACACACATTCTCTTCCGTGTATCGAGTACGAGGCCAGCGGCAAATATGTCACATGTCGGTGAGCGAATAACATGTGCCGTCGAAGCTCTCATTGCTCTACTGGCGAAGTTATCTAGCTCTCTCTCTCTCTCTCTTACTTTAGGCGTTGGGAGTTCTCTCTCTCTTTCTCTTTCTCTTACGTTAGGCGTTGGTAGTTCTCTCTCTCTCTCTTACTTTAGGCGTTGGGAGTTCTCTCTCTCTCTCTCTTTCTTTCTCTTACGTTAGGCATTGGGAGTTCTCTCTCTCTCTCTCTCTTTCTCTTACTTTCGGCGTTGGGAGTTCTCTCTATCTCTTTCTCTTACTTTAGGGGTTGGGAGTTCTCTCTCTCTCTCTCTCTTACTTTTGGTGTTGGGAGTTCTCTCTCTCTCTCTCTCTCTCTTACGTTAGGCGTTGGAGTTCTCTCTCTTTCTCTCTCTTAGCTGTTAGAGTTATCTATTCTTTCTCTGTGTCTTTCTCTATTCCCGGTCTCTCTGCCACTCTGATTCTAGTTTTAACTCCTGTCTCTTTATTTTTCATTCATTCTCTGTGTCTGTCTGTCTGCCTCGGTCTTCCTAACATTCCATTCTGTATTTGCAATGAAAGAAAGCAAGAGAAAGTATTCTGAGCACTGCAGGCAACATGTGAACATAAAGTAATTCTCAGCTATTGATTCCTCTTCCTCTCTCTCTCTCTCTCTCCACTGCTGCTGGTCTTCCTCCCTATCCTTCTTGTTTTTCGTGTTCGCTCGGTCTCTCTCTCTCTCTCTTTCTCTGTTCGTATTACCAAATATTATGTTTCTGTTCTTATAATCGTTGGATAAAATATTTTCCTCTCTCTCTCTTTCCTCCCCCTCCCTCCCTAATCTTCTTCTTCTCCTTCTCCTTCTCTCTCTTTCTCCCCCTTTCTATCTTCACCATCTGCTCTGGTCAGCACTCCAATTCCTTCCCCATTTTAGGCCTATACATCAAGAATAGGTGGAAATTTGATATGAATGAAGGAAGGAAGCGATAAGACAGAACAGGAGGAATAGGAGGGAGAGAAACTCGAGAGGGAAGTAGGAAAAAATTACGAAAACGACGGCGTAGTTGGCAAATATTAAAGGGGTATGATTGATATTTAAGTTGTTATTACTGACCTACTGAGGGAGATGGGATGAGGGAAAGGGAGGGAGAGTCAGAGAGAGAAGGGGGGGGAGGAGTGAGTGAGGAAGAGAGTGGGGAAGGGGAAGAGAGGGAGAGAGAGAAAGCTAAAGAGAACGAGAGAGTGTGTGGAAGAAGAGAGGGAGAGAAATATAAAGAGGAAGAGAGAGAAAGAGAGAGATTCCTTCACTTCCTTTTCCTCTCTATTTCTCTCGAAGCGTGAGAGTGTTTCAGAGAGCGTGTGTGGTGGGGGGTGGGGTGGGGGGGGAGGAAGTACAGGTCCACATGGCTATCTATACCTTAACAGATTCCCAAGTAAAACGACGCCCCTTAAATCCCCAAAAAGGACGACCCTCTTCGACTCGCTCCTAACTGGTTACAAAGGAGGGGGATGGGAAGGAGGTGAGGAGAGGGGAAGAGGGAAGGTGAGGAGAGGAGAGGGGAGGAGAGGAAGGAGGGGAGGGAAGGAGGTGAGGAGAGGGGAAGAGGGAGGGCAGGAGGTGAGGAGAGGGGAAGAGGGAAGGAAGGTGAGGAAAGGAGGAGAGGAGAGGGGGAGGGCAGGAGGAGGGAGGAGAGAGAGGGAAGAGGAAGGGAGGGGGAAGGTGGTCTCTCAAAAGAACAGTGCTTCATCGGGTAACATGACGACCCTTGACGACTTTTTCCTGGGCAAGGAAACAGGGTCTCGGTGGAGGGGGTAGGGGAAGGGAGAAAGGGGAAGGGGGG